ACAAAAAAAAACAAAATATGCCTCCTAAAGAATATTGAAACAAAGAAAACTTCAAATTATATTTGGAAAAGTATACTTAATATTAGAAAACTAAAATACTTTAACGCTGGCTGACTTTTGGAAACATTTTAATTCGTATGATGGAAATGTTTAATCATGTCCTTTTTTACTTTACAGCAACAACATACAAGAAACAACAACAACTTCGTCTAAACCACATACATATTTACCGTTTACTGCCATACGTACATACATACATATGTATTTAAAATAATAGCACGATTAATTATGGTGTCGATATATACGATGTGTTTTATTGGCTGTCGGTGTATGCAATTAGTGACCACAACTTTTCTTAACGTTTGAGTGCATATGTGTGGTTTTATATATGTATTTATGTATGTACTTACTTTAGTATATTACAAATTAGCATGTTGCTTAGGAATAATTTTGTAAAATTTAAATTTTGGAAAAACAAATTGTATTTTATTTGAGTGAAGTCTTAAAATTAGTATCTCTTTTTCTCTATTTGACTGGCCATTGTAAGAATTAAGTTATGATCAATAGCACATCAATCATTATTTTCTAAATGTAGCTTAAAAAAATTGAAAATATATTTCTCGATTTGTTCAATGAATAACTAAGTTTTTTAATGAAAAATATATTAAAAACATTTGATTTAAATCATCTTACATCGAAAGTGGCAGGAAATACTTCTGCAGGAAGTTTATTGCACATACAAACAGTGCAGCCAATCTACCACAAATGGCTGCGTTCTTGAAGAAAGACTTGTGTTACGTAAGAATATCGGGAACAAGTTCCCTAATTTCAGAGATTTACATTCCATTGTAGTATCTATAGAACAGTAAATTAAAGCACACGTTGCGACGGTTCTTCAGTGAATCAATCCCTACTGTCACTAATAAGTATCGTCGCCCTCTCCTGTACGCAGTGGAGTAGTTCCAAAATATAATTCAATGCTCCGGCCCATATATATAGAGTTGTATTCCAGTAAGAAGGTCAGATGGAGTGAAGTATGTCTAACACTGTTTCAAAAAACCGAGACACTTGCATGCTTCTTTCGACACTTGAAAAATGTGTTTAATTCAGCATCGTTTTGTATTTTCATGCAGAAACATCAAGAGTTTCCGATTACTTAATATCTAATAATAATAGATTGTTTGATGGGTATGTAGTTTTCATTGACGAGTCCAAGATGAATACAGGCACGGGTGCCGCTGATACCGGTCCTTAAATGCCCAAACGAATGCAGTATCTTCCAAGCTGAAATCCTAGCGATCTGGAAAGCGATGGACTGATACGGAATCATATCAATTTAGTGTCTGTTGTGACAATTTATGTCCGCTCTCAGAGCATTGTCTTGTCACACAGTACATTCGCGCCAAGATTAGATTTTAGAGATATTAGGAGAATGTTTACCATTAGACGGTGTTAGGTGCCGGGGCACGGCATGATAATGAGGTCACGGACGAACTAGCTAGATTAGGTTTGAGCCTTTGTATAGATGGCAGGAATAGGATGGTAAAACCACCTATCTGAAACTATTGTAAATTGATTCCATAAAATCATGAACTTGTCCTAACGAGCTCCAAAGGAGAAGGGTAGGCTTAAATAATAATATCACAAATTACAGACTCAAGAGGTTAGCCTTTTAAAACGAATTGAAACATATTACACAGTGCTCCGTTAAAGACATATTGAGACCAAGTTACCAAATGATTTTGAAAATCGAAATCATGTACCGAATTTCCGAAGATTTTGTAAAACTATAAAATAACATACATTAAAAATATTTTTAAATAATTTCAAAAATGTTATTAAAACCGATCCATTTTTGTTCCTCTTAGATTTGAGTACTTGAAACATTAATATTATTTAAGAAATGCAAACAATTAAGTTAACATTATAAAAGATGATGCTTTTCAATCTAAATAATTTATTATTCAATAATATATAAATTTCTATGATTAAGCCATAATTAAAATTAAAAACAAGTTTAATTTATTAAAAAAATAGATGGCAACTAATTGAATGTGTAGAAAGTATTTAAATAAACCATAACAAAATAACTTGAAAAAATTTTCCACTAATATCACAAATTTCATATATTTCGTTTTATCTAGTAGCCATACAATTTAAATAACCTAATAATTTAGTTTTTATAGTTATTTTTCTAATATTTATTAAATATTTAATAAATAATGTTTTATATAACTGTAATTATGTATTAAGCAAATAAAAAAATATGAAACATAAACAAGTTTTAGAAATATCTTGGGATGTGATAAACAATAAGAATCTTTTGAGAAATCAATTTATTATTTAGATACTAAAGAATATTCAGGGTTATTTTATTAAAGAAACATCTTTGCTTGCCATCATCAACACCTATAACTGTTTATACAAAAAAATTGCAATTAGAAACAACGAAAACTGGTTTCTAAAAGGTATTTATAGTTCTCATGCACATTAAAAGAAACAATTTTTAAAATTTTTGTACATTATCAATCATGTGCAAAATGTATAAAACATTGACAGGTTTATAGAAAAAACATATTGATTTCTTTTAAAATGTTGTTTTTTTTTTTTTCTTAATTATTAAATTATAAATTCATAAAGATATTTGCATATTTAAAAATTCCATAGTTTAACTAAGAAAACTATAAAATTTTAGGTTATGAATATTTTGAAATGAAATACACCTTCTATTCGTAAATAATTGAAAATATTCTGATGAAATTGAAAAGAAAGTCATTGAGTAAAATTTTGTTTTGATAAAAAAATGATAAGCAATTTTATCCGGCTGAAATTCAGGAGTGTAAAGGGAATTATAATGTGCATAAGTTAGTTTAAGGTTTTGTTAAACCAGCTGCTTTACTCCTATCTTAAGCAAATGATTTTATGAAACTTTATTAAGTACATTTTATGTATATAGTTTCCCATATAAGTTTTATACAGCATATTTACGACTCTGGTCGACAGTTCGAAAATTTTTAATTGTTCGAGTTTGTGCCTGTGGAAGCTGGAGAAACTGTGCCACCTCTGTTGGTCTCAACCATAGGTCTTATAGGGCGCAATCCTTGTCTGGACAATTGTTTAATTGTCCACATAGGGAGACAATGAATTGGAACGTCTTATACTGCCGGGAGCAATTCGTTCACGGTAGCAGTTTAGGATATTGCACCCGCCGGCCCTTAATTGTTTTAAAATGGTTCTAGAATAACTGGGAAGTTGTTTCCCACAGGGGGGGGGGGGTTGTACATTTAGGACTCTCGTTGCATCTGTAGCCATTTGATGCAACAATTTGTGAGCGTTTGGCAATAGGCAATTGGTCAACGTCCGATGGTATCACCTTTTGAATGTCGCTGCGCACAGTTGCTTATGCTAGTGTATGTATATTATAATTAGGCTTTAAAAGTTAATAGAAGACAAATATTTGTTCCTTATAGATAAACTTAAAAGCTCCAAAACTACACACTAAAGTATCGAGACGTATTCATAAGGAAACTGCAATGAAAATATAATTGTTTCTTTCGATCTAGAACGCGTTCTATGGAATATTACTGTTATTCTAAAGTATTTCTATCAGTAAATGGGTCAGTAATACAGCAAACTATTGCAGGCTATGCGATGCAGAGGAACTAGTGGCACTTACTTTGCCACAATCCTAGAATTCAAGAATTCAGAATTTCAGGTTGAAATGGCTTTGAAATAGGTTCCATTATGAACTTTGGAAAATTGTGGGATTCAACCCTCGCAGTCTATTAGTGATTTAATCATCTCTTCGACTGGATTTTATAGGGAGTTTTATGTTCTTTCACAACTTCTTCCTTTGTGAAGCGATTCGGTAAAACTTCCAGATTGAAACCAACTTAGGAATCGACTTGGTTTATTCTCCCTACATTTTACTTGTTATTTGCTGTTCTTTTTAGTATTTTGTTTCCCTAGCTTTGGATTTTCACACTCTATTGAGTGAATCACAATGGATCTTATGATCTCCGAGTGGTGTGGCACTTCTTCATGGTGCATAACCCTTCTTAACCTAAATTTAAGGTACTTCTAAGGAGTTTATAAGGAAAACTCAATGAAATGAGAACTCCAGAACTGTTCTAAAGAAGGTATATTTGTATATATGTCCTCCAAAACTACTTCCGAGGATGACAAATAACAGGATTTTTAATCAAGCGTTCTGAAACTAGTTGTAGAACTAATACAATTTATGTTTGGTTTGTTTTCCGAGATATCTAAATTTAGATATAAAAAGTTTGGAGAATCAACGTTATACATAATAACCTTTATTAATAAAAATTTGTAAAATCTGTTTAATGTTCTAACTATTAGCTTGAAAATAAAAGTTTATTTCTTCTTTGAGATATCTGAACCTAAAGTTTGAAAGAACAAGGAAAGAAACATGAATGTAAAAAATTAATCTTTTGCTACATTTTGCCTTTATTTTACGACAAATTTATTACTCACAATATGAAGTTATAATTTTTACTATTAAAATACTCTTTGAATCGTAAACTGACGATTTGTCAAAGAATAGCAGAGATCTCTAAACAATTCAAAAAACTTTTTCTTGGCAAAAGGGTATGACTATAAATAACGTCGACGGTACATCCAAACATAGAGGATATAATTTGAGAATAATCAACAAAAAAAAACTCAAGGAATGAACTCAAGGAAGAAACCCAATAGATAAAAGAAGACTTTCAGAAAAAATAAAACATTTTATAATAAAATAATTATTTACCCTTCAAACTCATCACTTATAAATTCGTAGTTTAAAATTATAAAAAAAAGCATGCAACATAAAGTAACAAAAGCTTAAATTAAGAAATGTGAAATATTTATTTTTCTTTTCAACAATTTTCATAAATACATATAAAAAAAATTAACAAAATTTACAAAAAGTAAAATCTAGTATAAACAAACCCAAACCTTAAGCAGTTTCTAAATATTTTAGTACAACTACTTACTTGTCATAATGAATTAAAAACAAGTGGTCTTTCTAGTTGAAGATTTGTTTTGTTATAGTTTTTCTAGTTTTCTTTTGTGAGAAATATGTTTAACAAAAAACACCTTTATTCACTTTTCTTGTTTAAAGTTTAATTCTGTAAAAAAAGGTAAATAAACAAACATTATTGTTGATATTTTTGTTGTAGTTTAAGAAGATAATAGATAATATACAAAAAAAAAATTGTGCAGTTTTAAAATTCATTCACATATGCGCTTGCAACAACTTTTTTTAAGATTAATTTTATGGCGGGTGCACGAACCTAAGCAATTGCATCACATTGCTTTAGAAGAGTCTTGGTTTTTTATTACCATTTTAGGCAAGGAAAAATAAACAAGTGTTTGTTGTATTGTCTTTTTAAAGTCATGAACAACAGCAACACAACAGTTGAACAAAACAATGTATTTTGTAATGTTGCTGCCATACAAACATAAAGATGCATCTTATTGGGGCAAAAACACACAAACCAAAATCAAAACAAACTTATAAATGGAAAAGAATTTGGTTCAATGTCAACATGTGCATTAATATTATAAAATACCAAAAATGAACAAAAATAAAAACAGAAACATTTTTAATAAAAACAAACATTGATTCGAATAAATAAAATAAATAAACAAAGAAACACAGAACACAAATGTAATGTATGCGAAAATTATAGTGTGATTTTCATTGTTACACAAACACACCAGGAGACAGGCCATGTGAATTGAATTAGTAAGAATAATTAACAGGTGTATTAATTAATAATATATTTATTGTGACGAAATACTAATGCATATAATTAATCTAGATAAATTTTTGTTAGAAATTTAAAACATCAGGAGATGTTTTTTTTTTTTTAATTTTAATTATTTTTATTTCGCCAGAAGTAATGCGATTTTAAATTGCAGCAGTTTACTGTGAAGTGAAGATTTAACAAAAATAAGTAAACAATTTGAATATTTATTTTTTTAACTTTTTACTTTTTCTAAACAACTAAATTGAGACGTCTAGTTATTTTGTCTTTAAAAGACTTTGGACAAATTTTTATAAATTTAAAAATATAAATAAATACCTAGCAAAAAGAGAATAGTTTATTTTCAGATTATTTAAGTCAAAGCTTTAATTCGCCTTAGTTCGGTTTTAGTACTCTATATAATAAATTACATTTTAAACACAATCCGGAAATATTTAAAATGATTGCTGAACTGTTCCGCAAACTACGACAGAAAATTATCTACATACCTATACGAAATTATTACAAACTGATGGATTATTGTAAACTATTTGAGTGGCCGCCAGTCGTTTGTCGAGTTTTGAGACTCATGCTCCAAACACCGTAGAATTAAACAAGGGGTTCTTCAGAGCAGGGTCCCGTCACCTTTCAAAGCTACATAAACCTTTCGTATGCGGACGACTGCACGATTATGGTAACAGGCCACAACATTGATGAGTTTTGCGGAACAAAAGTACTTAAAGCACTTGCCGGCAGTACTTGGAGTACGGACAAAGAAACCTTTTTGGCTACATACAAAACGATTGGTCGCCCCAGCGTGGTCTGTATTGCTGAGTGATAGGGAGAAATTTGCTTACAGATGTCCTTAGAACACCATTTTCATGAGAAAATAAAATTTTTACCGGTCAAGGATCACAACACTATGATATTCAAACACAACTTCTAGAATGTCATAAGAGGAATCATTCCAAATACAATGTAACGCAATTGGAGTCTCCCCTGAAGCATTTCAGAAAAGATGTTCGAATGTACAACAACTGCATAAAGCGTTATATACATGATCCGCTTGGTAATAGCTTTTACACATTATCGTAACAATATCCATACCCTATTGCAGAAGAAGAACACATACTGTCACGTAAAACAAGATTAGTTCTGGCACAACTGAGATCTGGATTGATCAATATAACTAATGCCTATTTGTTTCGTATAGACCGCATCATCCTCAACATACAGTGGCGTCCATGAGGTTAGCACATTTGGTATCTGTTAAATATAAGATCAAATATTTCCTATAGTTCTTAACTTTTTTAACAAATTCTTTTTTATGCGTAACACATGTCCTTCGAGGATCACGACACATTACATTTTGTTCCACTACTTTGTTGCATATAGATTTTTTTCTTTCCAAAGTACATCTACCCCCAAAAAAATCTGGACATAAGTTTAGCACAAAATAAAAAAAATCATTAAAAAATTAAAAATAAAGCAAAGAAACCGGATAAATTTATGTAATTGCACTTAAAATTTTATATTTTGTAGAATAGTTGCACATTTTGATAACATAATTTCTTCTCCTGGACATAATCTTCACCAGTACACACTAGAAATTTCATGACATAAATTTTAACTTTCAGCCCATAAATAGGCAAAATTCTTAGGAATTTGTGTTTTATTTGTTGCACCATTTCGTTTAATATGTTCCCTATTGGATTGGGATCTAGAAATTATTCTGGGCGCTGCAAACATGTCAATCTCGCTCGCTTCCAAGAAGCTCCTCTCTGTACTTTTAACATATTTTGGGTCATTGTCGACCAAAAAACGCCATTTAACTGAACTTTTGTCCACTAATTTTTTTACTAAAATATTTAACAGTCTATTTTGATAGTCATACTGATCCATTTGTGCATCCACCTTGCGTATAAAACCTCCACTACGCCCGGAAAACGCCTCCGAATTCGTCATATTTCACCCATTGTGTTTTATGGTTTTAAATGTACACTTTGGTTGTTGCTGCATGTTTGGAGTACAGCATAATTACATTTTTCCATCAAATTTGATCCTATTAATCTTCAACTAGTATCCTCCAATCATGCAGATAAAGCTAAAGTGTTCCAGAGAAATCATATATCACAATAGGGGGAAATTTCATGGTATTCATTGCATTTTCTTGGCGTGCTGTTGGTCCTATATTGATGTTGGATGCAGAAATGGATCCGTATGACTTCAAAATAGGATCTTAAATACTTTATTAAAAAAAATCGGAGGACAAAGATGGCGTTTTTTGGTCGACATCGACCGTAAATATGCTAAAAGTGCTGAGATGAGCTGCTTGGAAGCGAGCGGGATTGTCATGTGTGCAGTGCCCAGTATATTTTCTCGATTCCAATTCAATAGAGAACATATAACATGATATGGACCAACAAATAAAAGCAGAAATCACCAAGAATTTTGCCAATTTATGGGCTGAAAGTTAATATTTATGTCATGAAATTTCTAGAGGGTTCTGGTGAAGATTATGTCCAGGAGGAGAAATGATATTATCAAAATCTGCAACTATTCCACAAAATATAAAATTTTAAGTGCAATAAGATAAATATAGCCGGTTGTTTTGTTTTATTTTTAATTTTTTAATGATTTTTTAATTTTGTGCTAAATTTATGTCCATATTTTTTTGGGGGTAGATGTACTTTGGAAAGAAAAAAATCTATATGCAACAAAGTAGTGGAACAAAATGTAATGTGTCGTGATCATCGAAGGACATGTGTTACGCATAAAAAATAATTTGTTAAAAAAGTTAAGAACTATAGGAAATATTTTATGTTATAGGCAACATATACCAAGTGTGCTAAAATCGTAGCCACCACTGTATGATCAGTCTTTGGGGAAGGTAAAGGAAAAAATCCCTCACTCAGCGCTGAAAGTCTATGGACTCCATTGTATTATTGAGAAATACAAAATATGAATTTCAAAAGTTGAACTTACAAGGTGGTGAAAATTACAACAGACGTAAAAATAACAATTAAATTTTGACAGTTGAAACAGCTCAAACGAAAACAAATGGTTTAGTAGATGTTGTATTAGATGTAGTTCTGTCATCACCTTATAAAAATTTCTCCGTAACATTTAACTAAAAATAAGTATTTTTTGGTCAGTGTAATTTCAGTTACGGTAATGATCGCATATACTCGAAAACGTCTAGTAAAACACAAAGTACAGTTTAAACAGAATCATATTCAATTGGGGATGGTTTCGATAGCTCAATTATTTACCTTAGAGCATTGCTTTTTTCCTAAAGGCTGATTGTTTTTTTTAGACAATACATTTGATTAGGTGTTGTTATAACAGCTCGTCTGTGGCCGATAGTTCTTTGTTGGGAAAAAAAAATCGTTTGATACACCTATCCTCGATTTGACAATCTTTGGTCGACAAATCCATGAAATAGTCATTACACTAGTCAATAGTCTAATCCAAAGACTGAATTGTAAATAAAACAGTTAATAAACTAGTTAATGGACTTTTCCATTTTAATTTGATAAATTAGATGACCATGAGACTAATTAGATGACAAAGAAATTAATTACTTCTCTAAAAGCGAACTTAAATTTTCAACATCAGTGTAGAACAAACTTTGTATACTATAGCAGGCCTTTATCTTCTATATTTTCTACTGTACAAAGTTTTTCACATGGTGATTTAGTAAATTCTCTAGGAGCCACAGTAATTAACACTTTTTTTGTTCAAAGCAGATGTGGTTCAATGCTTATAGTCTATTAAGACTACAATAGTAAATATGAAAATTCAAAGATGTATAGATATTAAAAAAAAAACATGCTAATTGTAAGAAACAAAACGAACAATAGCAAAAATAAGCCAATATATTAAATAAAGTAACTTTGTTTGTTATAAAAAGGTTAATGCACTTAAACTTTATAGAAGAGTACCATGATAAAAGAAAAAAAATGTAGTTAAAAATTATTCCAATTTAAAAATGCAACACTGGACCCAATTCTACTAGCGCATGCGTAAAAATTATGGGTCTACCAACTAACAAAAAAATCACAATGGAATACAGACAATAATGAAAAGAATGAACGACCAAAAGATGACAAAGAATACAAATTTTTCAAATGTCTTTTTTGCAGCACCAAATAAAACTACTTTAATTTAAAGAATATATGACCACATGAAACTATTTTGTTAGGAACCCGGGAATAAAACATACATACGCACGCCATCATTAAAATAAATACAAACAACTACATATCAACCACAAAAACCAGCAGAGCATTAAGTATAACACAGCCAAAGCAAAAAGAAAATGTATATGTTGTTCTAAACTAAACCAACAATATGGAAAACCCCCAAAAAATGAGGAAAATCCAAGACTGCTGTACAAATTTTCACCAATATTGATTGCATTTTGCCTTATCATTGAAAAGCGCGTCACACACTTTTCTTTGCTTCCTATGTTATGGGAGTAGTTAATTGGCTTGTGTACTTACCTTTGATAATGTCTTCTGTGTCTAGAATTTAGATTTTTTTTTATATATTTTTCTTGCAAGTTTTTGTTTTTTGCTATTTGTTTTTTATGTTTGTTTAGTAATTTATCTATTGGCACAAAACACTGTTTATAAGAATTGTATTTATTTATATAATTCTTAAATTTCAGAAATTAATTTGTTATTTGCAATAATTTTTAGCAAAACTTTATAGATTTTTTTATGCGGCTTCCACAAACAAGCAAAGACGGCGGAAAAAACTAGTAAAAATGCGCGAGCAAATTCATTAAAATTGCAAATGGCGACTAGCAAACAGAGCCCTGCGCCGACACACAATAAAAGCGGCGGCGGCTGACACAAAAAATTTCGGCCGCATCTTAAAACCGGCTAGTTTTTAAATTTTTCACGGAGTAAAAGCTGCAGGATATTATTTTGATTTTACAGTTATAAATATTATATGAAGATACTGACAAATTTAATTTGCGAAACTTATTTTAAAGCCATATTTGAATCCAATTGAAAATGATAATATCACCATTGTAAATGCCAGAAAACTCAGAATTATTAGAAACATATTTATGGCAGATAAAGACGTAAGTGACACAAAATGCATAAACCGCATCCTATATTTTTAGTATAGCAATTAATTGTTTATTACAGATTTTTATAATAATGATCCGAAGATAATGAAAAAAGCTCTCTTGTAAACGTTTTTTTTTTTTTTTGTTTTTTTTTGTCAGTTACTTTTTTATTTGAAATTTTTATCGATTATAAACTGATATCTTTAAATCCTATTGTTTTTAAGTGAGTTTAAACAATTTTTAGACCATATGGAACCCATGGTGAACAAATAATAGTGTAGTCAACATCAAGACATGAGTCGTAAAGTTAAAGTACTATCAATCAACATCTATCAAATATTTGACAAAAATGTCGTGTACTCTAAAAAACCTGCATTTTGACTTCGTTTAAATGAATATTTATTTACAGAGATTTAATATATTTTTGAAGAAATTAATTTATTATTTATTTCGATATTATTTGCAATTACAAAAATCATGTAGAATAAAAAAAAAAAAAAAAAACTGACAAAAAGGGGTCGATAGGAGTGAAAAAAACATTTAATCCTTTCAGGGGTGTCAAAAATAATTTATGTCGAGCTAAAATCTTATGTTTTGGATAATTTGAGTATAATTTTCAAAGTTAAACCTCTAATATATTCGATATTCGATAAAAAGTCTTGTATCATTAGAATACAATAGTTAAATGCAATTAGCCATTAAATAAAGCTGATTTTTTAAACGTTGTGGCAATTTCTTAACTGATTTTAAAATAAAATACTTTTAAAGTCTCAATTATAAATATAATGTCCTAGTTTTCATTTAAAGAAAAAATAAGACTAACTGTTAATATTACCCTTCAAAAATACATAAAAACACTGTATATTGCAATGTCGAATATGTTCGAAAAAGAAAACACGGAAAGGGTTATAAATTTAGCGACAATTCAATATTTGACTTTTAAAATTTTAGTACATAAAAATGCAACACTATAAAAAACAATAGTTGGCAACGCCACATATATTGAAAGACGAAAAAAAAAACGCTAGATTATCAACATTGTCTAATTTTAAAAATTGTAAACAAACCTTTGTTGTTCGAAAGCAAGTATGTACTTAATAATACGATAATAAAACAATTTTTGTTGGAACGAAAATATGTAATGTAAATATGTATATGAAATCTTCTTCAGAAAATGACTTAAACGCACATAAATGGCTTTCAAATGTCGATGTCTACGAAAAAAACATTTTTAGGAACCGAAACCTACATTTATGAAAAATAAAATTATGAGGATCGGTCCGCCAATATAACCCTCTTACAGAAAATCAGTTTTAGCTATAAACATCATATACATCATTCCAAAAGTTATCATTATGATAGAATTATGGTAGAATTAAAAACAATACTTTAAATTATAGAGAACTTTGTCCATAATTGATCCAATTCCACATTTAAGCCCCTAATCCGAAAATCACGGTGACGTTCTTATTAATCTAATGATCAAAGTCCATATATATATGTATATGACCACTTCCGAAATTTGTTTTTTTACGACATATGATTTACCGAATATAACTCTTACTTCTTACTTATTTTAATCATAAATTACAGCTAAAATAGGAATAGTCTGCCTTTAGAGTTGCGAGTTTTCATACACTCTAATAATGTTTTCAAAGTGAAACTTTTGGAATATTTTTCAATCTCTTTGTGATCCCTTTAAATGATGTTGTTCTGGAAGAACTTTAACATTCATGTAAACATTTTGGGTAATAAATTGGGGGACTACCAATGAGGGGAGTGGAACCTCCCATATGAATTAAATACAAAAATTCGTTTATCTGGGAAACTAATAGAACTAAATTCTTAAAATTTTGCACGAAGAACTTTAATATTCATCTGAACATTTTGGAGAAAAAAGGGCGGACTTTCATCTGGGGGGCTTGAATTAAATAGAAAAATTCGTATATCTGAGAAACTATTAGAGCTAGAATGAATCTTCAAATTTTACTGAAGAACATTTAGAGAATAACGGGCGGACTTTTAATGGGGGGCTTGGCACTTCCCATATGAATTTAATACAAAATTTTGTATATCTGAGAAGCTATTAGATTATTCAAATTTTTATAGATTAAATTAAAATCTTAATTAACGTTCGGAATAATTGGCGAAATTGCAATAGTTTGCGTGGAATCTCCCATATGTAACAAATTGTATATCTGGAAAACCATTGTAGTTAGAATCATCAAAATCGTTAAGTGGGTTTCTTATTTATATTGCTTTTAGGGTAGCACAGCACACTGGGTATAGCTAGTAAATAAACAAATAAAAAATCTTTGTTAGAAACTGATTTTCTGCAATATGTTTTATAAAACTTGGAGAAAGGATTTGTTTTTAATTTTTAAGAATTTTTTATTCATCCCAGCATAATTTCTCACACAACTTTTGAGCTTGCTCTGTTTTGTTGTTATAAACAATATATTTGCTTCCAAAATCCCACTTTCTGATCTCTCGGATTCCGTTTTTATTTAAAATCGTAGAAAAATTAAAAACTAAACGTAGTTGAAAACTTAGCCGGCTTACAGTCGATTTTAAGCCGCCGCCGACATATTTAGTGTCAGTCGCCGCCGCCGTTAATATTTGTCGGCGCAGGGCTCTGGCAAGTGGCGCAAAAAAATTATATTTAATTAAATTTTTTATGACAATGTCCAAATCCCACAATATTGCTGCGGAAAATGTTGCTGCTAATTACCAGAAATTCGCAGATTTCGGCGATAATGCGTACAAAGAATACGAAACAATTTACAAACAAACGTGGTCGAAATTAAATGCTGGCCATTTGGAACCATTCGCCAAAATTTTAATGGAACGTGAAAATATTGCCTTAAAAGCTCAAGAGGAACTAACCGATACAATACGCCAAAATTTACAACAGCAAATGCAACAAGCTTTACATAATTTTTGGCATTCCAACGGTGTATCTGAAGCTTTGATTTCACTGGAAATGTGCAAAGAAGAATTTAAGTCTTATGAGGGACATAAATGGTAAATATATGAACATTAAGCAGCAGGTTTCTTTCAGTACTCTCTAAATTGGCAGATCATCTGTAACCTTTATTAAAGTATTAAATATTTTAAAGATAACTCGATGAAAATTAGTGTAGAAGAATATTTGTAGTTTTTTATATTTATGAATCCTCAACATAATTTACAAGTTTCTTTTCAATGTTACAGGAATATGGATGCTAAAACACCATGGGAACGTACACGACCCATACGCATGCGTTTTAAAGAGAAACGTTTGCGCTATTTACAGGCTCAATTAAACTTTCAGAATAAACAACTGGATGAAGTTATGCAGGAAAATATTGCCTTGCGCAAACAGATACAGGATGTCAAACATCAGCGTATTTACTTAATGGAATCTATGGGCAATTTTCGTAAAAAGATAGATGTAGCCAAAGCGGAAATTGCACGATTACAAGATCAATTACTCACCGAAAACGAGGAAAATATCAGGCCAAATATTGAAGCAGGAAATAAATAACATAAAACTATAGTTATAAGCAAAATAATTGTTTATACAAATAATAATTATAAAACATTAATAACTTTATATAGCGTTCATGAATACATACAATGGTTAGTGATTAGTAAGTTTTTTAATAAAACATTGCATATCTTAATAATAATTCCTCTCCATGCACGATTAAATCCAATCCAATAAACCGCGGTTATCTAGCCAGGGTAAAATTTCCATCATGGCTTGAACATATTTTGGATTAGAAAACATTGACATTTTCATTTTGGACTGATCTTCCATATAATTTTCCAAATTAGCATTATCAGTATTTTGCAAAATTACAGCAGGAAGAACTTTGGACACAACCATGTAAGCTGAAATTATTAAAATATTTCATAATTATCAAAATAAATTTTTCAACTATCCTAACTCACCTGCTAAACCATTCCTTAGAAGAGAACTATGGATATTTACTAATTTAGGCAGGGGACGCGCGTATTGTAATAATTTCAAATTCTCAATTAAATGATCGTAATAGTAGCGTATCATATAATCAAATTCCGACAATTTTATATCAGCAGCACAAGATGAAAGTATAAAATAATACAAATCATTAGCCGGTGAACCATATTTGCTTATGGCAAAATCTACAAACAAAGTGTTTTTAATTTTACCAAATGCATCGTACTGAAACATAATATTATTGCACCATAAATCGCCATGATTGAGAACATTAAATTCGCGCGCATTAACTTTTTGATCTTCCAGCAAACGATCGACCAAATAGACATCAGTATCACATAATTTCTCATAGTATTTCTGACAACTTGGCCATTTTTTTAATTGCGCCAAAAACGCACTGGAGGCATTGAACTCTTGCTGAAGACCACGGTTCTTAGAACTAAAAACCCCCTGCGTAAAATCCTCACTAAACTGACCGTATTTTTCTACATAACAAGCAGATGCTGCATGATACTCGGCCAATTTCCTTAGTACTGCTTGGCTGTGAATCATGTCAAGACCCTCGACCCGATTAACATTTTTATAACGGTTCACTTGTAAATCTTCCATTAGTATATGCTCCACACCAATATCATGATCAAATCGATGAACTTTTGGTGCAAATTGCACGATTTTGCCAACATCTTCGTAAAGTTTTTCAAATCTTGGCAAAATTCTATAGTACATTTCTTCTTCTTTGGGAAAAAGTCGCAACATGTTTGTTATTTGGATCATAAATTGATTGGGATGTTGGGCTTTTAATACGAATGACAATGTTTTGTGTTTTCCATCTGAAAATTGAGAATAGGAACATTTTTGGAAATAATCGTAATATTAAAAGCCTAAATAATGGTTTGGACTATATTCCAGACTACAGTCTAGACTATTATTTAGATTACTTTATGGTTATTGAGATTATTTTATGGTCCAGACTGCATTTTTATCTGCAGTCAATTGTTCAGGAAACAGTTTTGTCTATAGTTTAGGATATTGTACAGAATATACATACATATGTATGTATATACCAAACTTATTAGAACTAATCTGTTCTGTTATTCAAACTAAATTGTTCGACTATAATCTAGACTATAGACCAACTCACCTGCCAATTCAACATCCGTTTTTATGCGCAACAATAGTGATGAATAATTTTCTCCGGCCTTAGAAGCATTTACTATTTTTATGTTCAATATTTTACAAACTTCTTTATCCGTTTCCTTTCTAATAGCATTTTCCATTTTAATTTGCTGTAACCAGGAGGGCAAATCAGGTTCCAATATAATATTACAAGATGGCACGGGAGTCATGTTGTTAATGAGATGGCTTTACTGACTGATTTTTTGAAACTACAACACAACCGGCTAATTAACAATATCGTAGCGGTTTAAATGATTTTGCCAAAAGTTGGTGCATTTTACTAATATAATGAATGAACTATATAAATAATAATAATATCCATTATCTTATCTTTTAAATATACAATTCTGGCTATTGGCTTTACTTCGTATACATCATTGATTATCATTTTATGAATTACTTCTAACAAATTTTCTATTTGTGTTTATTAGGTTTATTGACCATACATGGTATAAACAATATACATATTTATTATTAAACAGTTGTTGCCCGCGATATGATACCCTACGAAAGGTATGAAAATTAAAAGTCTAAATTTGAACATAAGGTTCGATAATGGACCGATATTCACAGAAATTGTAAGTGTGATTGTGTTGAAGAGTGACTAATGTTAATATTTATTAGTGTTTATGTGCAATATTGTCCACAGACCAAAAATACATATGTATGGGCGAATTTAGTCGAATTATTTTAACAATTTTGACCTGTATCTTTTGCAAAAGGTTTATATGGAGCACCAGACGGACTTTGTTGATAAATGTTAAAGTGGTTATAGAATCAATATTTTTGTGCGTTACAAACATCGCACAAATACATAATTCCCTCCCAACTATAGTGCTATATGGTAGTATAATCGCTGCAATTTATAGACGTACTGATAGTGAAGATATAATCAGTCCGAACAGATCGATTTGTGAGGTTTTATGAAAGAAGATTTTATAAATTGACTAAAACTTCACCCGTCTTGCTACGAACTTTGCTTATAACGAACAAATTTTACTTGTCGCTCGGAGTTTGTTATAAACGGGCTTGACTGTATAACCATTATATTACATAGGTTAAAGCCAGGCGAATAATATAATCTTTGTTTGTAAGCGTTAATGTGCTAATGTTTGTGACAACGTTTTTATAATGATAATGATTTTAAAAATGTAGCATTCCTCTAGTTAGTTTGAGAGGAGTATGTACATATGTACATACATATATTTCATCAAATCAGGAGATGTACACCTATACCACTATCGGGTGTGTTCAACAGAATATCTGATGGGAATCGAACCTAAGAATTAATTTGTATGGAATTTTAAATTTCTATATGAATTATTAAATTTCATTTAAATTTAATCATATCAAACATTAATTTTCTCGAATGGAGACCATGACGTTTAAAGAAAACGATGTTTTTTTAATTGTAGCATTTTCGTTAAAAATTACATTTGGCAATATCATTTCTTTAAACTTAATGGTAACATTGTATACTTATATTTAAACAACTTGGCAACTCTTTCACAATACTCGCCAGAAATCTACGCCAATAAAGCCAAGACAGCGCCAATTTTTAATTTACGACGGTTTGAAAATTTCCGCCATTTTTTTAATAAATTTATGGAATTTTCAAATTTAAAGTTTACTTTAACTTATTTTTCGATAAATAAATTCTTTAATTTAGGATATCAAAGAAATGGTAAATATATTAAATTTAAAACTTATTTGTGTAAAATTTTATCCCCATAATCATTATAAGTTCATTATGGGTTATCAAAAGCCAACTAGTTTAAGATTCGGTGTAAATGGCATATAAAACTTAAATTTTCTAGGGCCACGTGTATCCATAACCGAATGTCTCGGCTACTTATAAATAACTTTAGCAAGTAGAGCTAATATACCAGTATTGACTAGCAATCTATAACGGTATAATAAAGGTATTATCATCGTTACTGTGCTGGTACGGTAGTAAAAAATTTACAACTTATATTATCTCCCATACACACAGGGCCTTCAATGCATAAAAATTGGAAATTGGATAAAAAATATTTCAAATATTATAGTGTAAACATAAAATGTATTTCTCGGACTGATTTTTTTAACTTCCGAATTATTTTCATAACCATGCCTGTTCAGTTTACAAAAAACAGACAGGAATATTTTTAATTTGAAATGTGTTAATACTCAGAATATTATTCTTGTACTTTATGGATTTTGATAGAATTCACAAGGAAAACTAAAAAAGGTTAATTTTGTTTTACTTATTTTTGTAAAATATTTTGTTTGTTAATTTTAAATTTAGTAAATTTTTTCTTAGTAGAAAATATAAATTTCGAAATTTACTCATATCTTAATCGTGTTATTAAAATATACTATTATGAAAATTAATTTGATTCGACGCACCAGAATATTGCTCTTTTTATATAAAGTGATTTTATATATGACACTTTTCAAAAACTATATTTTTAAGGGCCAATCTTTAGGTGAAAGATTACCGATTAAATTAAAATTAATCCTCGAAAGATGTTTTTGAGTACTCAATTAGTTAATTTTGTTTGCAAGTTTAAGCGCCCAATAGAGGTGGTTTAAACTTAAGTACGAAATGCAAAAGTGTAAACAGCTGATGCAAAAAAATTAATACAATTTTTATAAATATAAACATTAAAATGATCTATTTAGGGCCAATCTTTAGGTGAAAGATTAGCGATTAAATTAAAATTAATCCTCGAAAGATGTTTTTGAGTACTCAATTAGTTAATTTTGTTTGCAAGTTTAAGCGCCCAATGGAGGTGGTTTAATCTTATGCATGAAATGCAAAAATAAACAGCTGATGCAAAAAAATTAATAAAATTTTTATAAATATAAACATTAAAATGTTCTATTTATTGATTAGTATAAATTATGGACACTTCAAAATACATTTTTTGTTTTTAATTTAAGTTTTCATTAATTTTCATATTAAATTTACAATTGCCTTCTTCTTTTTTATATTGTTTTGATAACAAACAGTGAAGTTTTCTGTTGTTTTGTATGGCAACACTGCGAAATTTAATCTTGTACATACTAGGGTTCTATAGTTGAAACGAAAAGTCGACTTTTCGACTTTTTGCATTTAGTTAAAAGTCGACTTTTCGACCTTTCGACTTTTTCCATTTTATGAAAAGTCGATTTTTCGACTTTTCGACCTTTTTTCATTTATTTAAAAGTCGACTTTTAGACTTTTCGACTTTTAGTATTTTATAAATGGTCGACTTTTCGACTTTTTCCGACTTTTCGACTTTTTCCGACATTTTTCGACTTTTCGACTTTTTCCGACTTTTTTCGACTTTTCGACTTTTTTCGACTTTTTTCGACTTTTCGACCTTTTTCGACTTTTTCCGACTTTTTTCAACTTTTCGACTTTTTCCGACTTTTCGATTTTTTACGACTTTTTGACTATTTTCGACTTATTTCGACTTTTTTTCGACTTTTTTCGACTATTTTTTACTTTTTTCGAGTTTTTCCGACTATATTAGAGTTTTTGACCTCTATTCCACTTTTTTAAAATTTTCGACTATTTTCGACTTTTCGATTTTTTTCGACTTTTCGACTTTTTCCGACTTTTCGACTTTTTCCGACTTTTTTCGACTTTTATTTACAAAGTCGACTTTTCGACTTTTTTCATAGACGATAGTCGAGTTATCGACTTTTTTGGAACAAAATAGTCGACTTCGACTTTTCGACTTTTTTCGACAAAAAGTCGATTGTTCGATTATTCGAAAGTCGATTTATAGAACCCTAGTACATACTCAAAAACATCAAAGGGGATTAACATAAGATTAAATTTATTTTTAGATTAACTAATCTGATTATTAATTGGCATTTGATTACCATCTCAAAAACCCGCTCTTATTGATTAGTATAAATTATGGATACTTCAAATACATTTTTTTGTTTTTAATTTAAGTTTTCAGTAATTTTCATATTAAAATTACAATTGTCTTCTTTTTTTTATATAAAATATGCATTGTTTTGATAAAAAACAGTGACGATTTCTGTTGTTTTGCATGGCAACACTGCGAAGTTTAATCTTGTACTCAAAAACATCAAAGTAGGGTTCTATAAATCGACTTTCGAATAATCGAACAATCGACTTTTTGTCGAAAAAAGTCGAAGTCGACTATTTTGTCGAAGAAAGTCGAAAAAAGTCGAAAAGTCGGAAAAAGTCGAAAACTCCAAAATTGTAGAAAAAAGTCAAAAATAGTCGATAATTTTAAAAAAGTGGAAAAAAAGTCAAAAACTCTAAAATAGTCGGAAAACCCCGAAAAAAGTAAAAAAAAATATAGTCGAAAAAAGTCGAAAAGTCGACTATTTATAAAATACTTATAGTCGAAAAGTCTAAAAGTCGACTTTTAATTAAATGAAAAAAGTCGAAAAATCGACTTTTCATAATATGTAAAACTAAAATGAAAAAAGTCGACTTTTCGTTTCAACTATAGAACCCTACTTCAAAGGGGATTAACATAAGATTATATTTATTTTTAGATTAACTAATCTGATTATTAATTGGCATTTGATTACCATCTCAAAAACCCGCTCTAAAAATGTTTTCTTAATCACAGTGATATGAAAAACTGGAACGTGTAACTGCATTTTTACAGCCGATTTTAAGCTGCCGCCAAAATTGTTAATACCAGTCGTCAACGCCGTTAATATTTTGTCCGCGCAGGTATCTGCTACTCGCTATATTTTCCCCTCCACTAAAAATTTACCTTTTTAAAAACTTTGGCACGAAATTTGATTTATTTTACTTTTTAAAATTGAAGTGATTAGATCAGAAGAAAATATCTTAAAAATTTGCTCGTGCTAAATTAAAACAACAACATCAAGTATACCGTTTAAAATTAACAGTTTTAACGGAAGACAAAAAAAACTCTTAGTAAATATCAAAAATAAAAGCGTATTTGTTTTTGTTAATTTAAAACGTGATATATTTTTTTAAATATTTTCTAATGTTCTTTGTTTAATAATGTGTTTAATATTTTTGTCATTTTTGTTAGCTTTGTGTGCTTTTTTGCATTGTAAACTAATAATAAACAATTTCTCCAAAAATATTCTTTGAAGTTTGCCGCGAACTAAACAAATCTTATAAAGTTAGGTTAGGTTCTGTTGCTGGCCCTTTGTTTGATTTCTTTAGAAATGTTTTTCGCAATAGCTGGAAACATGCATAATTATTTGAAGACCGTGGCTTGTGGCAATTATGTTTTATTTTCTAAAATTTATTTTTAATCATATTGCACAATCCCCGGCCTGTAAATAAAATTGG